GTATGTGTGTCGTACGTGTGTGCGTGTGCGTGTGAGAGTGTGAGAGTGCGTGTGTGGGTGTGGGTGTGTGTGTGCGTGTGCGTATGTGTGTGTGTGTGTGTGTGTGTGCGTGCGTGCGTGGGTGTGTGTGTGTGTGTGTGTGTGCGTGGGTGGGTGGGTGTGCGGGTGGGTGGGCGGGTGGGTGGGAGGGTGCGTGGGTGCGTGTGTTGGTGTGTGCGTGGGTGGGTGCAGGTGTTTATCTGTGTGTGGTGACTGGATGCGTGCATGGGTGAATGTGTGCGTTGCCCGTGCATGGTCTCTGGGTGTGTGGGTGGGCGGGAGGTCATGTGAGTGCGTGGGTGAGAGCGTCTGGGGTGTGAAGGGGCAAGGGGATGGGGGGAGCGCAGGAGCACAGAGGCACATGGGGGAGTGTGAGCCAGGGGGGGGGGTGGCATGCGTGTGAGGGTGTTTTGCTGTCTGTGTATGATGATAGATTGACGTGATGGGGAAGGGGCATGAGAGCACAGAGGCACAGGGCAGGTGTGTGGGCGAGCAGGGGTGCAGCTGCAGGGGCATGTGAGCACATAGGCATGGGGGAAGTGTGTGGCCGAGCAGGGGTGCAAGGCTGCGTGTGTGTCACAGTGTGTGCATGGGAGCCCAGAGACACAGTCAACGTGTGTCGGCGAGCAGGGGTGCGTGTATTGAACTGCGGGTCACTTAACCATGTTACGAAATATTACCGAAGACTTGCGACTCTAGGTTCATGTTAGACAAGTTTATGACTTGAGCCGTTTGCATGCTAGGAAAGACTTGTGACTTGTGACTTGAGCATGTTTGCGCGGGTAGTCTTTGCTAAGATGCATGGATGCTATTGCACCCATATGATGGGGCCCACTGCAGCAAGTGGCTGGCTGTATAACTGGACTCTTCTCGGGCGTATCCAAATCTCTCAAGAGTCAAAACTCTAGAAAGTCTGGGCTTGGTCATTAGTTTACCACTTTCTTTTATCGTATTTTCTTTTTTTTTGTGTGAAAAAGAACCGGGTAAGCTCCTAGTGTTTTTTTTTTTTTTTTTTTTTTTTTTTTTTTTTTTTTTTTTAATACTAAGTGGCTAGAACAATTTGAATTGGCCCCGCTGCCACTTCATGGTCGTAGAAACGTAAGAGTCATGCCGGGCTTCCGTCTCTGCTCTGTTTGATAATAATGTTGTCACATGGGTTGCTGTACTCCGTTTGATCGAGTTTGAATCTGTTTGATGCATATTTTGAGGGTTGTAAACGCTGCACCGATGTCCAGCCAGGATCGTGCACTGGATAACCTTCGCAGATTTTGTGTTGCTGCAGTTGTACTCGATTGTTTACCGTTTTCTTACGTCGTTGCCCTTGTCAGGTGAATCGGAAGGCAGTTTTCTTTATCGTGTGGTTGTTGTGAGTTCATTATATGCTTGCTTGATCGATGCAGGGAATTGTGCCTTCATAGGGCCTTGCTCCAGCATTCCTGATATGCACAAAAGACAGAAAATATGGCGGTGCATCTTCCCGTGTTCTAGAGGAAGACTCAATCTCATTTTGCACTTTTCACGAGTGGTGAAGCGAAACCCATAGGCAAGCACAGGGAATCCAAGGGTTGTGCTGGACTGCAGGGGTCCTCGAGGAATTCCCCTTCTCGATTTAAAGAACGGTGTTCATGCCGTAAGACTGTGTGGGGCTCCACCTACCGGGCCCTTTTGGGACTCACAGAAAAAGTGCCATGTAGCATGGGGAATCTGTGCTCCCCATTTCTTGGAAAACCGTAAGAATGCCCGTAAGAATGTCCATAAGAATGCTGTAATAAGATTGAAAAAAAAAAAAAAAAAAAAAAAGAATGTCCATAAGAATGCCCGTAAGAATGCCCATAAGAATGCACGTAGAACAGAATCAGCAGAATAAGGGGATTCTTCAGCACCCGATTACGGAGAACAGAGGAGAGAGCTTGGGCTTTCAGTAAATGAGGGGAGTCCTTAGTGAATGTAGCCTAAATTTCCGAGAGAGAAAGAATGTAGAAACGCCGGTGGAGCCTGTGCAATTCTTCCAGGAAAGTCGTAGACGAACTGCAGTGAAGCACAACCCTAAAGTTCAGGTCTTAGGGTAATATAAGATTTTGATTTTCATTCTCTAGTGCACAATGCCATGAGAAAAAAAGTTTTTTCTTCCCAATTTTTTTGCATACGAGGTTATCGTTCACCCTTTTGACGATTTGGCGGATCTCGACACGAGAGATTTAACGGCACCTTGGCACAGGAGATTTAGCTCCACCTCCACCTTGATCCTACTGTCTCAGCCACGAGAGATTTAACGGCACCTTGGCACAGGAGATTTCCTCTGGTGACACAACCGCCGCAAAGCGTTCATCTTTCCCACCCACCCCAGGGTGGGGTGGTGTCGGCTCGATTCCACCTGCACCTTGATCCTACTGTCTCAGCCACGCTACTCGTGATGATAGGGCGGTTTCCATCTGAGAAGTCGATCTAGACCTTGATTCCACCTTCTCAACGACATCACACTTTATGATTTTGGTGACCTCGAGGCTCAAGCTCGCAACTCGATGAGAGATTTGATGGCACTGTGATCCCACCGTCTCCGGCCTCTTGGCCACATTACACTAGAATATTACGTGGTCCCCACCTGCATAGTGGTTTGCGGCTTTGCTCGCGTTATTTTGGACATGTGTCCTCTCTTTAACCTACCTTCTTCCCCGGAATATGGTCATTTTGCTGCATCTGGACTGAAAGATATCCCAAATACAGATATAGTGACCGTACGTTGTGTTCTGGTGATGACGGTAACAGGTGGTAAAAAAAAAAAAAAAAAAAAGGTTTGGGGTTTGCGGCCGGGAAGAGCCTGGCAGAGAATAGCATCGTATGGTGGGCTTTGGCTGGATCTGCTTATAGATAACCCTTAGGTTTTGGGACCTTTTGAACAGGGGGAGGGGAGG